TCTCTATTGGTGGCTTGTGTTGACGCCTACAAGCATGAATACTAACGACATTGTTCCTATCCCGACATGCAGGTGGACGTCACCCTTGTTGCGCACATCGTGCAGCAGACAAGGCTGCGTCTCAAGACGCGGTATTCACTCTGCGACCCGAATCATCAGTTCGGCAGCGGGGAGAAGATGCAGCTTCCCGAGTTCATTAGAAACCACGGGAAGACGGACAAGCGCGAGATGAAGGCGGAGGGCGTAGACGGGGACGGGAATCCCATCACGTTTGAGTTCACGCTGCACGAGCGCCCGCTGCCCGATCACGAGACTGATGGTGATGTTACGGCGTGCGTCGAGCTGGCGATCAAGTACGTGCGCGCCATTGACAAGGAGCTGGAGTGGCGGATGCGAGACCTCGAGCTTCTGGAAGGCTCGAAGCTTTTCCGCACAGCCTCGTACGTGTCCGACGAGACGAAGCGGCACGAAACCTTCAAGAAGTGGCTCGGCCAGCTGCACAAGCTGTACCACCACAGACTGCCTGGTGAGCCGTCAGTTGCGCTTGCACGTGTTGTCACATTGTTGATGCTCGTATGCCTGCACATCGGTTGACCATTGCACATTCTGCATACCCTGGCTTGTTGGACTAATGCCCCCTCCCCCTACCCGTGTCTCTGAGCATCGGCTTAGCTATCACCCGCAATCCGCCCCACCACAGGGTTCAACTACAAGGCAGCCCAGCAGGAGCTGTGGATGTTCACATCCACAATGTTCGCCCAGCACAACAACGAGGAATTCCACCAGGCGCTGACCAACATGCTGCGGGATGACGCGTGGCGAGTCTCATTCCCGAACATCATGCGGCTTTGGCAGTCAGTGGCCGTCCTGCCGTTGAGTACGGTTGAGTGTGAGCGGGGCTTCTCGAAGCAGAACCTGATCAAGACTTGGGGCCGTGGCAGCCTTGGCGACACAAGCCTGGAGCATCTGATGCGCTGCTCCCTGCTGCGCTACGATGTTGACTGGTTTGAGGTGGTCGCTATCTTCCGTGGAGAGAAGCTGAGGCGATCCACAAGGGAGTTTGACCCCACGAGAGCATCTCAGACACAGTTTGTAGAGAATGTTGCCAGCGGGTGTGCATCTGTGTAGGTGTGTAGTGTAGTGTATCAGTGGCTTATGTAGAGTGAATGGATTCTGTGTGTGATGTGATATTATGCTCATAAACAACACTTAGTGCGCATTCTGGCTATCTAAACAGGATTAGGATACAACTACCCTGCTAAATCAGGATTCCGCAAAAAGTACCCTGCTCAAATCAGGCTATGTGATGAGTTACCCTGCTGAAAACAGGGTACGAAAAATTTTACCCTAGGGGTCCGTTCAAGGAGGGGGGGTTACCCTGATTGGTAAGGGTAGGGTAAAACCAATTTTGGGCCCTGGTGAGGATGAAGATGACAAATGATGCCTGATGTCAACTCATGGTACTGAGCAATGTCGTTACCACCTGAGTACTTCTCGCCACAGACTTGTTCAACCAATATGAGATGAAGATCTGTCTTGTTCAATGCTCTGCCTAACCAATGCATAAATTACGGTACCTTCTGGGAGTTCCAGGGTGCAAAGCGGCACGTTTATGGGGTGTGAGTATGTTACGTGACACAGGTTTTATGCTAACCCCAACTTCAGCAGACCTTCAGCTGATTCCTGACCCAAACAGCTGTGCCAAGAACCATACTACACTTGTATTCATTATGACCAGATCCTAGCCCAACAGGATCTGAGAGCACAGTTACAGGTACTTATGCTGTCCACGCGTATAAGATGGGCACATGGCAGTATTTACTTCATCATTCCACAGCGACTCGACCAATGAAATTGTTCAGCAGGCTGCCAAACACCAGCTCCTTTCCACAATCAACCTCGCGGGCACTTGTAAACCCCCCCACATGCTTTGCTGTGGGGTCATTAAGAAATTTCACAACCTGCCCGTCTTCATTCACCGCCAGCACAGCGCCAGCATGGCGCATCATGGGAGAGAGGAAGGGCGGCTGGAGGTACTTGAGAGGCAACAGACCAATGAGAGCCTTTAGGAGAGGGAACGGGTGGATCAGGTCCGTGACAGGTTGCCGAGGCTATGTGGTGGGGTGTGAGGGAGGGAGAGGGGGGGATAGGAACGGGGAGGAGGAAGGGGAGGGGGGTTTTTCCAGATTGTGGGGGATGGAAGGAAGAGTGAGAGCAAACAGAAACGGAAGGAGAAGTGAAGAACAGGCGAGAAAAGCGGGGAGTCACTAGCAACAGGCGCAACAGAGAGGGCAGTTGTGAGGTACTTGAGAGGCAAAAGGCCAATGAGGCCATGAGATAGAGAAAGGCACTTTTGATTGCACATGGATCAGCGATTCGGCGAGGCTAAAAAGTATTGCTGGTTGTTTAAATCAGTATGTGTGAGGATCAAAGCGCTTATTGAACAAAACTTACAATCACAAGGCACACCCAGAAGAGACCTTTCCCATTGCTGTTGACATTGTCCGGCGACCCGGGCAGGTTGTCTAGGAATATTTCTGACGTGCCCGCTTTCGGTCCTTTGAGCCAATAGCGGGTCAGGCGATACCTGCAGAAGGGGAGCCGGCACACAAAAATGGTCCAATGAATTGCCAGTTCAAGTAAACCCCACTGGAGGGAAATATAAGGGGAAATTGCCCATTCTAGAGGGGAAATTGAAATTTAATAATATATAGAAAATTGCCCAATTCCTTTTTTAAAAAAGCCAACCCAAACGGTACTTGAAAACGATTTTTCTATATAATTTCCTTGGCTTACCTGCTAGTTTCAGCCACCACAACGAAGTCCTCATGTTGCGACAGCGCCACCCCATTCGCAAAATACAGCCCATCAAGAAGCGTCTCAGCCTCCAGAGGCCCCGCTTCGCTGGCAGTCCCTGCTGACGTGGCATCCTCATCCTCTCCATGACGTGGCTCTTCTGCCAGCTCTGCTTTCTGCTCGTCTGGGTTGATCCTCAGCAGGCGGCCGTGGGGCCTCTGTTCCAGAATGTCGAGGAAGAAATGTGAGACCGGAAAGTGCGAGGAAGCATCTGAGAAGTAGATGGTTCCGTCGCTCGCCACGTCAGCGTTGTCGGTTATTCTGACGGGAGGTCAGCAAACAGGGTGAGGGCAGGTATTAAAAGGTCAGATACTTGAAGGGGTAGGAGGGGGGAGATACACAAGATGTAGGATTAGGACAGAATGATAAGCTAGACAGGGACAGCCATGGGCACGAGAAAGGAACAGACTGGACAACCAGTGCTGGAAACGACCCTTGAAGAAAGGTAAGGCAGGAAAATGGAGCGGTGGAATAAGCATGCAGATGAAGGGAAGTCCAACCTGAATGGAATTCCATTGGAGGAATTGGAGATTAAACGGACGGAACGAGTCGCCACATCCACTAGGAGGAGACCCTGGGAAGCAGAATGACAACAGCGAAAGACTGCTCTAAATTTCTCAAAAAGAATCTCCACGTCCACTACGGGGAGACCTGGGAAGCATAATGACAAGAGATAATATTTTTGGATTCTCACACGTACTCTTCACGTCCAGGAGGAGGAGAATCCGGGGCCTCAGAAAGGGAGAGACGACAGCGAGGAGAAAAAAACTTTCGTCAGCTGCTAATCCCTCTGCCTCTAGTGCAAAAAGCAATTTGTGAGAACCTTCCGTTCGCCGAATTTTGCCACCTTGAGGGAACCATTGAGTCTCCTTGCACGCAATAGTTCATTCCCGTTTACTCTTTTGCAATTTACCTGGTGCTTTTTTGGTCAGGGGAATGGCCTCGTTCCTCATGGGTCATAATACGTCTAAATTAAACCTTGGTGTTATGAACATCTATTGGCTTCTCACTTTAAATCATACCTTCACCGCCTCGCAAACCACCAGTTCCCGCTCATCGTTCCGCCACGCAAGGCCCAACGGATGCCCGCCTACGTGCACCCAATCGCGAGGCTCCACGTCGCCTTTCTTCAGAATCTTAATCCATCCACTCGCGTCGCTCGAGTATAAGTTTCCTTCCGCGTCAGGAAGAACGTCCTCCGGACCGCGAACCTTTCCCAGAGCGAGTTTCTTGACGGCAAGCAGCCGGTCGTTAGCGGCAATGGGTCCGACAGGAGCGGGAGGCGGAGGAGGGTGGAAGGGAAGCGGACGGAAATCGCTGGAGTTTAAGTGCGACTGCAAGCGGACAAAAACGGCTACTAGGACGGCAGCCAGTGTTCCAAGAAACGGGATGACAGTCATGGTGCACGCTCGCGCGTAAGCAACGTGCAAAACTTCTAAATTGCTGATAATTCCCTATAGCTGCTTATGAGAAACCAGCAACTAAAATGTGCTGCTAACCGGATCACTGATCTAATCCTGACATTTCTTGTGGAGAAATGGCGGACTCAGAATTTGATTTTCCAGTCGGCCAATACTTCAGGCATGCTGGTAACATTTGATATCCCACGGTTTTGTGCGGTTAAGTGTTTTTCAAAGCCATGGGGCGCGGTAAATTATGCTTGACCCTACTGAGCGGTGTGCGACGTCGGACTGTAGATGTGCACGCTTTTTTTTTTTTGGCGATGAGGGGGAACCTTTATACGGTGCAATCTGCTGAATGTGGAAGCAAATGTAGTACGGTCTGTAAGAAACATAACTTGTACTATATGGCTCTTGCTCATGAATCTTTTTATGAACGATACAGGCAAACCCAAGGAAGAGCTTCTGAGGGATTGATATACTGTAGGACTCGCAACTACGTTGCAAGTGCATCGGTATACATTGGAAATGAGAAGTGGTTGTCACCCCACATAAGGCAGTGTTATGCATTTTGGTGTAACACGAAGGCAGATGAGAGACCAACTCTTTAATCTCATCACTGCAAAAGCTGCTTATGAGGTGATCTCCACATCCTCCTTGTAAATACTAGCCACCTTGTCGGAGCCCGGAGCCCATAAGCTGAAGGCAGGGCTGCAAATGCAACTGTTGACCCCCTTGCATGACTCATGAGTCGGCAGGAGGTGGCAGTGGCTCTGTACACAAGGCAACAGGTCAAGAGGCATCGCATGTTCACAGAACAAATATGCACACACGTCCACGCACAATGCAAACACACTTTCACGCACACCAAGACACACTCCTTACCCAAGGTAAATACACTACATACCATACAAACGTACCGTTTTCAGCCATAGCTGGTACTTGCACCAACTGCAAAGGCTGTCACCTAAGTTAACACACCTGCTTGTATTTTCCTGTATAGGTTGAGCACTGGATAGATGTTCTCGAACGCCTGGTATATCTCATCTCGCACCTGCAGCACAAACGTGACACAGAAAATGAAGTACAAAGAAAATTTCGTGATAAGAGAGAGGAAGGTAAATAACCTGCAGTAGGACACACCCAGGAGACCTAAGCACACACGGTCCACTATAACACACCTTAGCACCAGTAAGAACGATCTTCCCTGACACGAAAATGAGGAGCACGATCTTGGGCTGCTTCATGCGGTATATCAAGCCAGGGAAAAGCTCTGGCTCGTACTGCAGCATGGTTGAAAAGAGGGGGGGAACCATGAGGAAGAATACACCCATTAAGATGAAACATACAAGTGCATATAATTATTGAACGCAATAATACACTTATGAGGCGAAGAAAATAAACTATAAAAGGTGCACAACAAAACAAAGGCTGAGTTTGTCATTGAAAAGACTTACGCTGCAAAACTGTTGATGTGCAATCTGAAGTCCTTCTAATCGAATGGGAAAGCGTACGTCGCAAGAACCAACAATATTTTGAATCTTGAAATCCTGCAAGCCGTGAGGATCAGATATCAGGCACCGTCTAGAAGCTCTCCGCAACAGCGGGGGTCCAATAATAAAAATGGATGACGGTACCAAGACGAGACACGACATACCTTAAACTTTACTTGGTCGTTTCCAAGCTTTTGAATAATACGAGCATACTGCCATGAAAGAAAAACCAGGGAGAAACACGGACGATCAAAAATAGCCCTGTACGCCTCACAAATAACATTCCAACCAAACGGAAACGGTGGCGGAGAATCGAAAGGGGAAACAGCGGAAACTGAGGAAGGAACAACAATGAAATGAGGCCAAAGCTACAAGTGCAAGTTACCTTGCGAGCAGCTAGCCGCGATTGCTCTTCACTCTTCGCGCCTGTGCACACCTGATGCATCCGGGAAGCGAAGAGTTGATGCAACCTCAGGGATAGAAAGCAAAGACATCACGCACGCACAGAAGTGGTAATTCGAGACAATACCGAATTCACCACACAAGCAGGATCCTTACCATTTTCCCAGAGGCGAACACTAGAGCCGTGGTCTTGGGCTCGCGTATCCGAATGATGACAGCTGCGAAACGCTGTAAACAAGGAGAGGAAAACCAAATACCAGAAACATAAACTTGAGCTTTCTTCAAGGCTTCAACACCAACACTCAGCCGTTGCGACTCGCCAATCGGTGTAGCAAAGACCACAGTCTGATACACAAGCTCTTCCGGAAGCTGATAACCAAAACCCCCCGCAGTTAAGGCTTGTCCTACGTACCTAGTTACGTCACCGTGCGCCATGTCATACCTTAGGGTTGTACTCAGCGTTTCGAGCTCGGAGTGCAATCTCTTTCAAATCCAACCGACAGTCCATGTTGACTGTAGAGACTATGTTTCTGCAAGGGCGAAAGAGGGAGAGAACCCACTCGCCGATGAGTACGTCAAATTCAAACCCATTTCCTTCACAGCATATACCAAGCTTCACGCGACCTTCTAGCAAAGTAAGACCGAGATTTACGGCGGGGAAGACACATACTGTAGTACAGGCACGATTCCCGAGGGGTGCTTGACTAGATCGACTGGTTGGCTCCCCTCGTCAAGCACCATGGCTGTTTGGCTCGGCAGTGCTGGCGAGGGTTCCGCCATGGCGATAGTGCCACTAAAACAGAGTCAAGCAATTTCACTTTTATAAAGCACGGGAAACTTTTGACTGCTTTAAAGATTGACCCAGTCGTCCTCGACGTTAGGATAAGCTGTGCACGGCTATGCCGAGTTCTGCTTGAGAAGGGCACAGAGCATAACTCTCGAAGGCTTTGATAGAGAAACTAGGAAAATTAGGGCCCACCAGCGATATATGAAGGGTTCTGATGGCCCAGGCTCGAACTGCACTTCCGAGCCAAGATTGAGGCGGTTGCTTGTGCCGGGCTTGATCTGCCTGTTTAGTTTGGGAGGACATTCATCTGGCCGCTCTTGCTGCCTACGGGGGTGGTTCGGTAGAAAGTCGAGCCTATCTTAGTTCGGACGATGTGATGTGATGTCGCTTGATGCCTTATGCGTGTACAGTGCACCAGACCGCAAAATCTAGGGGATGCTGTGTTGTCGAACGTGGTTGGTGGGGAAAACGCCCATGTGATGTGAGGAACAAAATTTCAAGAAGTCAAAATCGCACGTACCCGTTATGACATGATCAGAACAATAGCGACGGCATGTGCACTACAGGCTGTTAAATGGAAAAATAACCAGCCTCCAGCATCTGTAAGATTTGCTGCATGAATTGCTCATATATGAAGAGTGCTAGTTTTCATATGTACCCTGCGTCAATGCTATTTATCAAGCTTTCAGCCACCCTTGTTCTTCATTGTGCAAGATTATCATGTCACCGCCACCACGACCACAAGACAGCGAGCCATTTATTTTGAATGAAATCATCAACAACACGGGACAGCATATCACAATAAGTTGTTATGGCATACGCAACTAAGAAACAGCTTTTGAGTATAAACTACAATAATCGTCAAATATATCTCGTGATCTCCACTGCAAACCGTCCTTTCTTGGTTGTAGTAACCTCTCCGATCTGCATGGCATACGCATGGGGAATATCATAGCACAAATGTTGCACTTTTGAGAAGAAAACGCAAACTCAATGCTATATTGAAGCACAATCCCTTGTTTTTACCACACTGCTAGAAGCTCGTTGAATTAGCACACTATCAACTCTATTTCTCCACCCAGCCCAGCTCCTTTCCCTGCCCCCCTCATAGGACAATACTCCACACTCCCCCTTGTCCTCCTTGCAACAACTCCCCCTCCCCTTCCCCAACCATACTCCCTTTCCACCGAAACCACATCGCCACTCCTTCACACCAAACCTGACATAACAGCGCTCCCACTATCCATCCCTCATCTTGCTCCCCTCTCAACCCCTATTAAACCTCTCCTTCCCTCCTCAATGGCTGTCCCATCCCCCATGGCACGACTTTGCCACTCTTGCACACTCTTCCACACTCTTCCACAGCATCCCGCAACTCACCAGCACTCCCACAGTCCTCAATCCCGTCTCCTTTCATCCCTCCAAAACCCCCAACCACACTCCACCCCTTCTCACCTTGCATCTCCCTTTCCCCACACCTACGCCACATTACCACTCTTGAGCACCACTCCTGCCTTGGCCCATACCCTTCCCTTCTATTCCTGATCAAATACATTCCTCAGCAGAAATGTATCCAATCCTCCCCTCTTCTCACCTTGCACCTCCCTTTCCCCATACCCACACCACATCACCACTCTTGAGCACCACTCCTGCCTTGGCCCATACTCTTCCCTTCCATTCCTGATCAAACATTCCTCAGCACAGATGTATCCAATCCTCCCCTCTTCTCACCTTGCATCTCCCCTTCCCGCGCACCGACACCACATCACCAACTTCAGCAACACTCCTGGATTGGTTGACTTCCCTCAGCATAAACCTCACCTTCCATCTTCCCCACTCCTCGCCTTTTATCTCTCCCCTCCTCGCCTTTTATCTCTCCCCTCCTCGCCTTTTATCTCTCCCCTCCTCACCTTGCATCTCCCCTTCCCCCGCACCGACACCACATCACCACTCTTGAGCAGCACTCCTGATTTACTCGCCTCTCTCCAATTCACTCGCACATCGCCCTTGCTGGGAGAGCAGGGTTTCGGGGGGGGAGGCGGGGCAGGAGAAGGGAGGCGAAGGAGAAGCGAGTTAATTTTGCAGCATCACAAGTCTTCAGCATCACACCTAGCCGGGCTTGAAGAGGAGCCCCAAAGCTAGCCAGGCTGAGTTCTGCCAGTGCAACACGGATACGGAATAGCCGGCCGCGTACGTCTATCTTGCTGAGTTTTTGAGTCGTTTCAAAAACTCACTTAATTCACATCGCACGTGTATCTTGCCGACAGACATGACGCGAGCTCACATGCTTGAGATGTCTTTTGAGACCCTCAAGAGTGTTTCTATTTTTGCGAGGCACCTCAAAAAGCAGACATAAGGCGAGCTCACATGCTTGAGATGTCTTTTAAGACGCCTCAAGAGCTGTCAGAGTTTATCCGAGCTTACGCTGTGAGCTAGGAGTGGGAGTGGTGGAAGGCAGCAGTGGCAACGACATCAGAGTGAGAGATTGGGAACTAGTGACCGCTCCCACGCCGCAACCACACGGTGATGAGCTTATCTGAATTGGATTGGGCTTGCTATGCTGAGCTGAAGTGCGCTGTCGCTATTAGGTCGGTGAACTTGGAGCGGGAAAGGCGGAAAGCACTGTAATGATCACAGAGTTCTCACCAGTGTTACACTCCGCCTCTCCCGCTCCAAGGTCACCGACCTCATAACGTAAGTTCGGCACATCCCTGTCTGCATGTAATCTTATCAATAGTTCCGCTATCTGCCCCGGTTGATAGATGAGCTGAGCACTGCTGAGATGAGGTAAGTTGAGATGAGGTAAGTTGAGATGACTTTTGAGTCGACTCAAAAGTAAGTTGAGATGAGCTCACACTATTAGCAAGATCACGCGGAGGTGAACTGAGCTCACGCTATGAGGTCGGTGAACTTGGAGCGGGAGAGGCGGAAGGCGGCACTGGCGACGGCGTCCAGACGCAAGGAAGCTTCCACCGTGCGAAGCGTGTCGATTCTGGTGGGGGGAAGAGGAGAGGGGGGCCGAGATAGGAGGGTTGGAATGGAAGATGGGAAGGGAGGAGTGTGTGATGTGAAGGCAGCACTGGCGACGGCGTCAAGACGCAAGGAGGCTTCCGCCGTGTGGAGAGCGTCGATCCTGGTGGAAAAGATAGGCTGGAGAAGCTGGAAACGAAAAGCAAGACGCAAGGAGGCTTCCTCTCCAGGATCGACGCCCTCCACACGGCGGAAGCCTCCTTGCGGGAGAAGCTGGAAACGAAAAGCAGATGGCGACAGGAGGAAAAGATAGGCTGGAGAGGAAACAGGTGGGAGGATACGCATGGAATGGAGGGCAAGGGAGGAAGGGAGAAGTTTGCAAGATTGGAATGGAAGATAGTGAGCAGGGAGACACAACACACAGAGGTCGAGGGGTGGAAGAGGGATGAAAGCTCACTTGGGAGTGAAGATAAGCCCATATGTTATTGAGACGTCTCAAAAACAACCTCGCTTCACGTGGCTCACTTGGGAGTGAAGATAAGCCCATATGAGATCCTTGAGAACAATGAGCTGTATGGTGACTGGCTCGCATGGATGATGAGGCTTCGCACCGCGGTGCACTGCGGTGAGCGATGAGTGATGAGTGGTACTAATGTTCGAAGCACAGCACATTCTCTCACTGGTGATAAGGGGGGGAGAGAGCGAGCTCACCTGGGAGGGGAAACTGAGAGGTCGGAGAGAGAAATCGGGTGCACAGTCACTGGCACGCGGTGCACCGCGGTGAGTGCTGAGAGCAGGAATTCTTGAAGGTCCGGAGCGATTATGACCTGTGCTCCCTCGCCCTCCTGTGGGGTGAGAGTGAGGAGAGAGAGAGATGAGAGGAGAGGAGTGGGGCATGGGGTGTATTGTGACTGGCACGCGGTGCACTGCAGTGAGTGCTGAGAGCAGGAAGTCTTGAAGGTCAGAAGTGACTAAGACCTGTGCTCCCTTGCCCTCCTGTGGGGTGAGGGGGGGGAAAGAGGAGAAGAGAGGAGACGAGTGGGGCATGGGGTGAACGGCAGTGAGCGAGGAGAGCAAAAAGTCTTGAAGGTCTGGCGTGATAATGACCTGTCTCGAGGCCACAGGTCTCGCGTGATAATGACCTGTCTCGAGGCCACAGGTCTCGCGTGATAATGACCTGTCTCGAGGCCACAGGTCTCGCGTGATAATGACCTGTCTCGAGGCCACAGGTCTCGCGTGATAATGACCTGTCTCGAGGCCACAGGTCTCGCGTGATAATGACCTGTCTCGAGGCCACAGGTCTCGCGTGATAATGACCTGTCTCGAGGCCACAGGTCTCGCGTGATAATGACCTGTCTCGAGGCCACAGGTCTCGCGTGATAATGACCTGTCTCGAGGCCACAGGTCTGGCGTGATAATGACCTGTGCTCCCTCCCCCTCCTGTGGGACGTGAATCGGAGGAAGAGAAAGAGAGGCAGGCTTGCGGGTGCAGCAGATCGGAATTATGTGAATTGCTCTCGCAGGTCTGGTGGGTGCGAACATTGAGGCAGGCTTGTGAATGTTCGTGACAAGGCATCTCGAACATTGAGTAATAATGGCCGCTTAGATTCGAATTCGAGTAAACATAGAGTGGGCTCACCAGCAGAATGACGTCACCAACTTTGTCTCTTGTGATCCCCGTACCGAGCACTGCTCCCAAGAAATCACCGTGTGACACTGATGTTTGCTTGAACGCGCCTGATACCCTGTGGGAGGGGGATGGAGAGGAAGAGCGAGAGAAGGAAGCAGGAAACAAGAGTCAGAGACGGGGGATACGAGGGGAAGAAGAATCAGGCATGCAAGATGCATCTGCATCCTAATAAAAGCCTGTGAAAGGGGAAGGATGGAAAAGGAAGAGAGATGAGGGATAGCAGGGGAAGGGAGCTCAGACATTTGATGTGTATCCCTGTTCCCAGCACTACCGCTGCAACTGCGCAAAGGTTAACAGCTGCAAGTGCGCAGAGGTTAACCGCTGCAACTGCGCAGAGGTTAACAGCTGCAACTGCGCAGAGGTTAACCGCTGCAACTGCGCAGAGGTTAACCGCTGCAACTGCGCAGAGGTTAACAGCTGCAACTGCGCAGAGGTTAACCGCTGCAACTGCGCAGAGGTTAACCGCTGCAACTGCGCAGAGGTTAACGGCTGCAACTGCGCAAAGGTTAACCGCTGCAACTGCACTCCCTCCCTCCCTCTCACAGATGGCATGAGCGCATTCTTTAAGCTATGTAAAAGCATCACCTCGCTGCTGCAACGGCGCCTGGGAACCCAGCTGCCAGCGCTGGTACAGCATGGCCCATGGCACCATCACCAGCATGCAGGAGCATTGGCAACCTCACCATTCCCTCTGCTGCCATGAGAAAGTGCATGCTTTATGCGCCTCACCTCACTGCCGCAACAGCGCCTGGGAACCCAGCTGCCAGCGCTGGTACAGCATGGCCCATGGCACCATCACCAGCATGCAGGAGCATTGGCAACCTCACCATTCCCTCTGCTGCCATGAGAAAGTGCATGCTTTATGCGCCTCACCTCACTGCCGCAACGGCGCCTGGGAACCCAGCTGCCAGCGCTGGTATTGCATCAGCATCAGCAGCGTCTGCACCCACTCCCTCTGCTGCCATCAGCTCTGCGGGTCCCACTGAAATTCTGCACCGCTCTGCCTGTTGAAGCAGGGAGGTGGGGAAGAGAGAAGGGACGGGCGACTGGTAACACCATCTGCAGCAGCATCTGCCACTCCCTCTGCTGCCATCAGCTCTGTAGGTCTAATACCCTGCACCGCTCCGCCTGTTGATGAAGGGAGGAAGAGTAGAAAGGGGACAGATGGACAGGCAAGGGCTAGCCGTGGTTGGTTGCTTTTGCATGGTTCCCCCAATGCCAGCAGCAGCATTCGCATCCGCACCCACTCCCTCTGCTGCCATCAGCTCTGTAGGTCTGATACCCTGCACCGCTCTGCCTGCGGTGGTGAGGGGGAGGGGCGGAAGGAGGGGAGAGAGGGGCGCCTCAAACTCTTGAGGAAAACGGAGAAAGGAGGGTGGGGAAGGAGGGATAACCACACACCTGAAAGCAAAGTGCGTAAGTAACACACTCGAAAGCAAATAAGTAACACACTTAAATGCACATAAGTAACACACCTGAAAGTAACCGCCAGAGAGGATGGCAGTGACGTCAGCCATGTTTGAGACAATTGGAATGATGGCGGGTTGGTAGGCGGGGGAGAGAACAAGGAGGGGTGTACGTACAACACACACGTAATTTCCAAAGAGTAGTAACACAGGTAAATGGAGGGAAAGCATGTTTTTGAAACGTCTCAAAAACACCCTCTCTACACGTGGGTAAAAGGAGGGAAAGCATGGGTATCCACGTACCTGAAAGTAACCGCCTGAGAGGATGGCAGTGACGTCAGCCATGTTGGAAAGGATGGGCATGATGGCGGCTTGAGAGGCTGGGGAGAGGAAAGCGGAGTGCAGCACTGAATAGGAGGTGAGGGCACGATTGGCCTGGGGAATGGGGAAGATGAGGGCAGGGCAGGCAGGGAGGGCAGGGAGTGGCATGCGCAATGGGGGAGAGGAAGGCGGAATGCAGCACTGAGTAGGAGGCGAGGGAGAAATCGGGCTGGCGTGTGTGGGGGAGAAGGGGGAGAGGGGAGCGGAAATGGAAAGGGGGAATGGGAGGGGAAAGCACGAGCAATGGGGGAGAGGAAGGCCGAGTGCGGCACTGAGTAGGAGGTGAGGGAACGATCGGCCTGGGCAATGGGGAAGGATTGTGAAGAGGGAGAGGAAGGGCAGAGGGGATGGCAGAGAGGAAGGGAAGAGAGGTGAGACATCTGATCTGAGAGAGGATGGGCATGATGGCGGGTTGGGCGGTGGGGGAGAGGAAGGCGGAGTGCAGCACTGCGTAGGAGGCACTAGCAAAGAAAACGGGTAAAGAAGGGAGCGATTGGCGTGAGATGAAGGGGTGCAGCACAAGCCCTCCTCCGCCATTCAGTTGGAAACTACCAGCACCTTCCTCCCCCCTCGTGATAAAAGTTATGTTTCAAGACGTCTCAAAACATTCAGTTGCTAACTGTTTTGCCCCGCCTTCCCCCTTCCCCCTTCCCCGTCCCCCTTCCCCCAACTTCCTCCTGTTTTGCCCCTCCCGTTCTGCCTCCCCTGCCCCGCCCCGCACCCACCAGCTCTAGCACTCGGCGAGCAGTCTCCTGCTCTTCACCACTCACTCCCGCCAGCAGCGGGTGCCGCCCCTCCCCTTTCCCCCGCACGCCACCAAGGGAAACTCCAGCCTCGCGCCTCCCCGCGCGCGCCTGCACTGCGCAAGGGGGAAGGGGAAGCGCGGAAGTTGAAATGCGGGAGTGGCGCACACGTGGGTTCGCACACAGAGGTCACGCACACGTGGGTTCGCACACAGAGGTCGCGCACACGTGGGTTCGCACACAGAGGTCGCGCACACGGGGACGGACTGCTAAAAGCTGTTCCGAAGCCTGAGTGTAACCCTAAAGGTCGCGTCCCGTACCTGTAAACGGAGCGCTTGAAAAGCGTTGCTCTGTATGGCCAAGTCGGACAGGTGTAATCAACAACGGAGCCGCGTGCCACGCGCCGCCCCGCCGCATTAGTAGCTGGCGAGTTATGAGGAGGCTTCTGACCGGGGCTAGCGAGCCGAGAGCCATCTTATCAACACTGCAAAGAAAATATTAAGTTGAAAGATTACTACACCTATTCGCGATCAGACACGCGCGACGCGAGTTTTGAAAACGGGCTTTCCTGTAGCGTCACCCACTCTTGGTTACTTTTCGGAATAGCAGGTTAGAGCGGAGTCGGATCAACGGCGACGCGTGAATCTAAGAACCGTGATATGCAAACTTTCCCTTCGCAACGGTTAGTCGAGTCGGGTCGCGTGGCAAGCGCGAGAGTTAGTCGCTGGAATTTGCTCCGTGCGAAATTCGCACTCTGGAAAAGTCGAGTCGGGTCGGAGTGAGACGCTCTGTCTACGCCTCCACCTCCGTCTACGTCTACGTCGCTATCGTTCCCTCAACGTTCACGTCTATAGACGTCTACGTCTCCGTCGACGTCAGATGTATGGATGTGCCTGAGTCAGGAATGCGATTCGGCTTCTGAAAATCGGGTTCCTGAGTGTCTAGCTGAGGTCAAAACTCCTTACTAGGGAAATCTAAAAGCAGATCCGACTCCCCGCATCTCGCGGAAATCTGAACATGATTGCGCGGCGTGTATCTGAGCGTGTCCCTTCGGCGAGTGATTGCGGGACGCGATCAATGCATCCTCGGAACCATGGCTGTCGCGGAGCGGGTGTACGCGGCGCGTGTTACTAAGAAGCACTTGGTTTAGGCAGAGTCAGCACCGATTAATCTCAGCTCTGGCCAGCACTCTGACAAGAAACGGATTGTAACGCTAAGGTAATCCTAATCAACATGACAGTATAATTTTAGGGTCGCCATTTACAGAACTTAAAACTAAATCCATCTCATATGATATCAAGGATTACAAGTTCGTGCAAGAAAAAGGTGAATTGTTTCCTAACGCGACAGAGCATGATTGTAGCACGCAGGCGCATAGCCATACATAGTATCAGGTTGCAACTAGTAAGCGACACGCATATCCTGACAGTTTTCTGCGGTAGCATGATTTCCCGGCATCTTGTGTTGATTTCATGACTACCCATGGAATTGCTACCAAACGCGCCCAGTCCCACTTCTCTCGCGCCGCGAGCTCCAATACGCCATCATCAGCAGAATCAACGCGCGTAAGACCGACGATGGCCAGGAGCTCGGTCAGCACTTCTCGATCCTAGCAACAGCATGAACACAAGCCTGCACGAACCTGCGCACGCCTGCACGAACCTGCGCACGCCTGCACGAACCTGCGCACGCCTGCACGAACCTGCGCACGCTTGCACGAACCTGCGCACGCTTGCACGAACCTGCGCACGCCTGCACGAACCTGCGCACGCCTGCACGAACCTGCGAAACCATGGACAAGCTTTCGCGAGCTTGCGTACGCACAAGCAGCCTTGTATGTCCTCAGCAGGCTCTTAGTCCGCCATCATTGGTACCGAAGCGCCCATCGCCGCGCGCCGAGAGTTCTGCCGGCACTGCTCGATCATGGCGGCGCGCGCCTGCATGAGCCCGTCGGGGCGGAACGCGCAATCCACATTCGACCAATCCACCCACTCCGCCGCCCCCTTCTCCCCTCCGAACGCCGCCGGAAGCGTCGCGCTGGTTGCCCGGACCCGCCGGTTGGCCGCCGGCGCCGCCGGCGGCGCAAACGCCTTCGTGTCCGCTCTCGCAGCGGCGGGAGCGGCGGCGCCAAAATTCCAGGGGGAGGTCGGCCCGAAGCGCGCGGGCTCGTCGACGTTCATGTATTCCGCGGCGCCGCGGTCCCTTGCCGGAAAGTACGCCGCTTCTGGCGGGAAAGGGTCGTTCATCATGCCGGCGGCCGTTTGCGGCCGTTGAAAACCAGTAGTAGCAGTGGCAGCAGCAGCAGCAGCAGCAGCACCAAGAGTACTTTTATTAGTAGTCTTGGTAGCGATGCTCTGTCCTGAACAAACCTCATCGCCGCTTTCAGAGCTGTGTTGCGATACCTCCGCGTCGGGATGCGCGTGTACGCTGCTTTCGCGACACGGCACGTAGATCGGACGGCCCAGATGCTCCTGCTGCTGCTGCTGCGGCTGTTGCAGCTGCTGCTGTTGAGGGTGTGTCGAGTGGACTGTCGCGTCGAGCGAGCGACGGCGACGGGAGATTTGAGCCGCGTATGGAGAGTATAACGAGTTTTGTAGTATCGGGTTATGAGACGGGCGCTCGAGTTGGTCGAGCTGAAGGGACCGCCGGGGACGTCGTTGATCGTCCATGGCGTGATCCAGAGCTGCCAGACGGCAGTACGCTTAGAAAGAACTGAGGACAATAACTCAAAAAATCACCTTGGCAGATGGAATTTACGGTGGAAACTCGGATGAGGAAGCAGCAGAAGAAGTCAACTTGGTAGTACCAGTGCCGCTTCAAATCAATTGCTTCGCAATAGATGCTGAAGACTGTTGATGTGATCTACGGAGAGCAGAGCAGACCGCGATAATCTATTGGAACCAGGCAGAGCCCTGTGAAATAAGCAGACGCGCGGGGTGCGCCAGACTTGGTCTAGGTCCAAACCAACAGCCTAAGACTGATTCGGAGGTGCAGCAAACATAGAGTAGCTGCAACAGAATGTGGATGAATGAAGCTGGCAATGCTTTCTTCACTAGGGAAGGGAAGCAGCAAGGCCAGCAGTGTGTGTGGTTCACGAATCAATAAGGGCTTTGTTGGCCATGTGGGCTCTGCCTGCCCACACAAGCAGCAGTAGTGAAGGATTCAAATTTCACAGGCATCAGGTGTGGGATGCAGCACAGGATGTTCCACAGCCTACAGTACAGTATGAGTGAGTGAGGGAGGGAGGGAGGGAGGGAATGAGGGATTGAGAGAGTGGGACGGGACGGGATGCACACGCGATGATCGAACAGCCAACAGCAGAGTGAGTGAGTGAGTCTGTGAGGCTGTGAGGATTTGAGTGAGTTTTGGGGGGAATGAGTACGATGGACACAGATTTTTCTACAGTCATGTACAGCGTCCAGTATGATTGAGTGAGAGAGCGAGTGAGGGAACGAGTGAGGGAGGGAACGGGTGAGGGAGGGGTGAGGAAGAAATCAAGCCTGGAAATTGGATCTGAAGCTGAAAGGGCATTGGACGAGAAAACAGTGAAGGGTTGCTTGGGGGTTGACCGATACAGTTGGGGGGAAGCGGAAATGAAGCTGCGCGATGGGGAGAGAAAGCGCAGGGGGCAGAGAAGAGTCCATTCGGAACCGAACCGAACCGACCAAACCATTCTCAGGCAAGGCAAGAAAGCTCGGTTCTTGGCGTTGTCTGAGGTCTGTACAGTGGTTTTCTTCGGAAAGGAAGGCTAGGAAACGTCCGCCGAACTATTGATGGTCCCACAGCGCTACACTGATCCGGTTTGGGAATACCGAAGCAAGAGTTATGGAGGTGGCGGAAGTATGCCTCCGCCTGAGGCGCCCGAAACAGCAATGGAATGCATATAGCTGACCAATGACAGCACGTCCTCAGGCCAGCTGGCTTGGTGTGTGCTTCACAGCAGCTGCTAGGCAGGGCGGCCACGCTGGCAAAACCATTCAATGGCCAAAAGATGCTTATGAAGAATAAACCAATCGGATTGTAGAAGAAAACACGATTGCCGATTCTCACTTGCGACAGAAACGACGACGTGGCGTTCCGAATGGAAAATGGCCCAACTACGAGATTTTGACGAGATACTGCCCACGGTTTGTGGCAACCTCACTGCACTGGAGCCAACCAGAGCACCGCATTTGGTACAACAGATGCAACAGAAATCTGTCCAGCCTGTCGCTGGATCCCGCCACAAATTTCCATGAAATGCATCGAGTTGTGTTTGTCTTTTTCCTGATTCGCAAAACGCGGTTGTTGGATGGAGGCGGGTCACGACTCACGCGGTTCTGCTGCCGCTGTAGCACCGCAGAAGGGAGCATCCGACAATTGCCATATACCACAAACGAACACTAAAACATGATGGAAACCCAAGACAGTCTACACAACACCTTACATGTTTTTAAAAACATATGGACTAATTTCAAAGCAAACCAACCACAACACAAAAACCACACTCAACTCATGGCACAAAGGCTAGCCGTAACTTGAGTCTACTTACTGCAACCTTCCTATACACGTCTTGTTAATCTTGCCGTGCATCAATCTCACTCCCTGCCCCATTGCCTCACAGCTTTTCCGAGTCCGAAAGTGAACCACTAGAGGCTGCCAGACCTGGGACCAGCACCAACGCAGATTCCGAGGTTTGGCCCAAGTCTGCAACTGCCAGGATCCTGTCAGCCTGGGAAGTGGCGCGAAAGCCAGCAGAGCTGGGGAGTTGAAGGGGGTTTGAAGGAGTAGAGAGAGGTGCGGTCATAGGGGATGTGAGAGGACCAGCAGCAGCCGGTACAGTTGGGGCAACGAACCCCTCAAGTGATGCAGCAGAGGTGCCCCCAGCAGTAGTGAAAGCAGCGGCGGCGGCGGCAGCAGCGGTGCTGGCTGCGGCGGCAGCGTCTACCCCAGCCCTCAAGCTTGCAACATACTCTGTGAGGTCTGAGGTTCGGGAAATCCCACAGGTCCGGGACCGCCGAGCCAGAACGTTAGGTGCGGAACTGCAATCTTCTGCAAGAGGGGTGGAGAAGGAGGTGGAAAGGAGGGGAGCCGAGGAGGAGGAAGGAAGAAGAGGTTGCGAGCTCCAGGTGTTGAGAAAGGGGGAATCTAGTCCGGATAGAGGAGGAGACACGTGGTGGTTGAACGCAGACTGCTGCTGTTGGTCTTGCTGCTGGTGCTGCTGCTGGTGCTGCTGCTGTTGCTGCTGCTGCTGCCGAAGCAACTTCCGCAAAAGCATCTCCCGTTGCCTCTCCTCCTCCTTCTGCTGCTGCCGACTCTGTTCCTGCTGCTGCTCCCACTGCTGCTGCTGCTGCTCACGTTGCTGCCTCTGCTGCTGCTCTTCCTGTTCGCGCTGGTACTGCACGCGCATGTGATGGGACCACCGCTCCCTCTGCGACCACCGGCCCCGCTTCACCTGCCATGCAGGCCGGTCCGACAGCCCACGGGCTTTACCCGCTGCGGCAACACCAGCACCACGAGACGCACCGCCAGAAGCAGAAACAAGAGCATCAGCAGGAGAAATAGGAGCAGCAGGAGCTGCAGAGGCAGCAGCAGCTGAAGCACCAAGGATGGGTCTGCCAATGCCGCTGCTGCTGCACACAGTGCTGCCACCGCTGCAGCCCCTGCCCCGCCCAAGCCACCCGCCGAACCTCTTCTCCCCAGCCATCCGCTCCAAAGCAAATTCGTTGGCTCGGATGCTTGCTTCGATCATGCCTTGTATATCTCGGCCACTTTCCTCCCCTGCTCCTCCTGCTGCTCCTGCTAATGCTCCTGCTGCTGCTACTCCTGCTGCTTCTGCTGTTCCTTTCACCCCCACTGCAGCAGTAGCAGCAGCGGGAACAGGAATAGCAGCAGCAAGGAGGTTACTGCTAGCAGCTGTGAATCCATAACTGTTCCCAGTGGTGCTTGTGTTGCAGGTGGCACCTAGAAACGAATCCAGGTGCATATGGGGAAGGTCGCCTCTCCTCCTGCTGCTGCTGACAGTAGTGCTGCGGCTGAAGCTGCTGCCGCAGCCGAGAGTGTTGCTGCCAGTTCTGGGGGTGCTTTCGACGGTGCCTGAAGCAACAGCAGCAGCAACAACCGCAGCAAGGTCTCCGCTGCTTGTCTGCTGAAGCTGCTGCTGTTGCTGCTGTTGCTGCTGCTGCTGCTGCAGGAAAAGCAGTTGCTGTTCCAACCCTTGTTCCCAGGGCAGGGGCAACATCTCCCTTTCCAGAATCCCCACTTCTTCCAGCTCCTTCTGATGAACCTGCTTGTTGGGTTGAGGTTCAGCAGCCGCCGAGCCTGCCAAGGAGGTCCAGAGACTGGGGTCCGTGATAGCCGCGGCAGAGATAGCCCCGGCAAAGACAGCCTCGGCGGGGACCCCCTCGGCTGAGTCAGGCTCGGCAAAGGCAGGTTTGGTGAATGCCAGGCAGGTGAGGCAGGCAAGTCCCATTGTCCCCATTGCCACCTTCACATCAACCCCTTGTGCCCCACACACCGTGCATTCTTCTGAACGTTGCACTTGGGCGGAAGGGCGGCTTGGGCGCTGCAACGTGAACGTTGGGAGCAGGTGTGGAGAGGGAAGAGCGGTGCTGGTACATCCAGGACTCTGATTGGAGGGTTGGAGGGCGGGAAGAGCACCGAGAACTGCAGTGGACAACGGGGAGAGCGACGAGGCTGCAACGGAGGGGGAGGAGAAGGAGGGGGAGAAGGTGGTTGATAGGCTCGCGGGAATAATGAATGCTCGCCCCCCTCCGCCGCCGCTCGTCCCGCTGCTGCCGCCGCCGCTCCCGCCGCCGCTGCTGCGGGCGCCGCCGCCACTCCTGTGGGCGCGGGCGAAGCTCCGACTGTGCGGATCCGCCGCCGCGGAGGTGTCAGCAGCCGCGCGCGCCGCGGATTCGCTGCCGCTTTTCCGCGCGCGCAGCGCGGCGCTGGCGGCGCCGAAGCTCGCGGGGAAGGGGTTGGGCTGCAGCAGCGGAATGGCGAGGGGCGCGCCAGGGGGGGATGCGGAAGCGGCGAGCGCGACCATTGCCTCTTGATTCGGGTCCACCGCGGAGAGCAGGCGGCTGCGGAAAGGACGCGCGGCTTCCGCCACATCTCCGCGCACATTGTCATCGACTGGGGGGGGCGCGGAAGCGGCGAGCGCGACCATTGCCTCTTGATTCGGGTCCACCGCGGAGAGCAGCCGCAGCGGCCGCGCAGCGACTGCCGTTTCCGCGGGTTGCGCAGTTTCCGCCGCCGCATTTCCGCGCGCGCCGCCGCCGGCGAAAGCGCCGCAATGCACGTCCGACCAGGCGGCGAATGTTCTCAAGGTGACTGATTCGAACTGGGGGTCGAAATTTCCGCCTTCTGATTGCGAGTTGGGAACTGGGAACTGGGAACTCAAACGGGACTTTCCGTTTTGCGAATTGGATCCCCCGACAAGCGAGGTTTTCATCTCCGAGTCTAGGGTTTCGCCGAATTGTTCCGCCCTGTCGTTCCCCTTGCTGTCAACTTGCGCGGAATACCATTCTCCGCTCGCCCCGTCCTCCCGCTTTTGTCCCTCTTGCTGCGGCTGCGCCGGTTGTTCCTTCCGCTGCGGCTGGTGTTGCTGTTGCTGTAGTAGCAGGGATGCTTGTAGCGCGGATATTGACGCCTCAAGCTCCGCTAAAGATGCTTCCGTCGACGCGGAGTTTCCCCACGGCGCGATCTCCGCCAACCTAATCCCTCCCTTCTCCGCCGCTCCGCCGCGCGTACAAGTAGCACCGCTTCCGCCTCCTTCCTGCGCTTCCGCCGGCGCCGGTCGCGCGCGAATCACCGCTTCCAGCAGGCCCTCGTACGTTCCGCTTTCCGCGCCCTCCGCGCCCTCCTCGCCGAACCGTCCGTGGACTTCCGCCTCCTCCGCAGCTGCTGCCGTCGCGATTTCGTCTCCGTGAGCAGACGTTGATTGTAGCAGCCGCGGCGCGTCCGTCGCAAGCTGCCTCGCCCCGTACAGCGCCGTGATCCGCGCAAGCGTCTGGGAGGGAGTTCCGCCGTTCCGCCCGCCGCCCCCCGCACCAGACGCGCCAAGCACCTCTTCCATCTCCGTCTGCTCTGGCGGAACTTGCCGTTCCGCACACTCGCCCACAAAAGCCGCACGCGGATAAACCTCCGCGCGCTCGCCGTTCCGCCCCAGGCCGCCGAGCAGCGGAGTTCCCGCGGCAGGGGGACCGCTCTGAGCGCTTTGCGCGCCCTGCGCAGTCTGTACGCCTTGAGCGCTGCTGCGAGCGCTCGGGCTTCGACTCCGGCTGTCGCCGCTGGCGGAAGCCGCGACCACGCGGCGCGACATTGCGGGGGGTGAGTTTTCCGCAAGTTGGGTGAACAGAGTCTCTTGCGAAGTATTGACGGATGGAAATTCCATGGTGGACGGCAGTCGTTGTAGATTATCACGTCCCGCCAATCGCGCTACTAAGATGATACCTCAGATTGTAGAAACCGCAGATTATCGCGAACACGGAGCTGGTCACGTCTCTGGCTTGCTTATATAATCTGCTAGCTCCTGAAATTCCGATCGCTCCTTGCACCGCGCTGCCGATCGAGTTCCCTTAACTTCGCGCCTTCTGCTGCTGCTGCCGCCGCCGCCACCGCTGCTGCTGCTGCTGCTTCTTCTTCTGCTTCTCCAGCTGCTGCCAGCAGTGCTGTTCCTGCTGTTGCTGCTATCGCTACTATCGCTGCTGTCGCTGCTATTTATGATAGGAGGGAGAAACAAACTCCACAAGGATTTGTGAAAGCTGTCACGGGGACGATGATCAACGGCGATTCCAATGGTGTCTCTGATTCCATCGACGATCAGTAGTCGCTGCTGTAAGAGTCTGTGGGTGTGACGCGCTGTCACATTGATGCTACTCTAGTGGGCGACCCTCTTTTCCTGCTGCGCCCCCGCTGCTGTTGCTGCTGTCGCTGCTGTTTAGGTAGCACACTCGCCCGCGCACGATCGGCTGGGTTGAACAGAAGGCTACTATATCAGCGTTGACGTATGAAGAAGAACGGAGTTTATCAAGCGCAGGAGCCGAAAATCGAGAGAAAAAGGACGAGTTTTTTGTCTCAAAGACAGGCTTGCGCCAGCTCCTTTTGTCGTCGCGATATGCGACGTCGCGAAACGCGCCAGGTTGATTTAAATGTCGTATCGTCGCGAGCCTTATACGTGAAGATTAGAGCGGTGGGAAGTGCGGTGGGTGACAGCTCACAAACTCCACGCGTGCAGCGGAACAGCTTGTTGGACCTTGGAACACTTTTTTTGGCGCCTCGAAATTTGTCTCAGTGGGGGATGCGGCGGGTGACAGCTCACGAGCTCCACGCGTGCAGGAAAACTAGTTGGACCTTTGAGAGAAGTTGGAACACTGACGGAGCTAGGAACAAGAGCGGAGAGCGGTCGAGATTCGAGCGTGCAAAATGCAGCCGAGCAGCTATGGTCTCACGACACGAATTCTGTGCTGCGAACTTGGATATGCTTGAAGAGAATTGGCGGCGCGAAGAATGTGACAGCGAGGCGCTGAATTTCGTAGAGGAAAAACTCAAGCAGTTGGAGGATGAGCTGCTATGCAGCTATTGCTGCCGTGAACTCGTCGTGTTTCGTTTCTGACAGTCTGGATGGTAGGGAGAACAGCTACTCTTGGAGACGATGTTGCGAGACGTGACAGAAGCGATGAAGATCGGACATTACGGTAGGGACTGGCATTTGTACGAATGGATGAGTTCGCGTTGCTGTTTGCGTGGACGCTACCTGGAGATAAAAGCTGGAGCTGCATAGAAGAGAGGGATTGTGAGTTTGTGCGACTCGAAAATGCGGAAGATCAGATGCGAACCAGCTTGCTTTGCGGAGCGCCAGACGAGAAATCAGCTGGAGAGCCGAAGCGCAGATGCACTGCGAATTTGCGAAGCTTTTACGAAGAAACGACGACTTGTGGCGAAATGGGAACGATCGGCATGCGAAAGCGATGGTGGGGTAAAGAGGGGGAGGATGGGGTGCAGGGCGGATGGAGGAGAAGAGAGGGGGAAGGGAGTTAGGGGGAAGCGGGGGAGGAGGCATTCGCAAGTGTGGGCTGGCAGAAGCACAACAGAATCCTTCCCCCTCCGTGGATATCAAGAACTGTAGTGCACACGTTCACTGCTAATTCACGATTGAGAAAGCTAGTGCACGCTAGCTGTCGGGCAGCCTGGCGAGGGAGTGGATGCGTTTGGGCAGTTCTAGGTCAAATTTGCTTGGTGGTTGCATATGCAGAAAACGTGCAACCTGCCCAAAAGTCCACAGATCTCACGTGGCAACCAGTGAAGTGAAGAGAAGGCTCCCCGAGGGCATGACGTCGGATCAAAGGGGATCAAAGGGAAGGAACAGAGGAAATAAGATCGGTGGAAAATAGAAATTTCCTCTGAAAGTGCTCAGCACCACAGTCACCAGACATGTAACTGGCATGCGGAGGAAAAGTTCTAAAATTCCTCTCAAAATTCACACTAGCCGTCGAGATCCATATCCTTTTAGTGGGTCTGGATAAACTATTTCACGACTTCTGAAAACAGGGTGTATTAGAGGGTGTACTTGCGAAAATCTCCATTTTGTGCAGTAGCAACGCACTGGTGCAATATATAATCAACAAAGTGGGCATATCCCAAAAAACGCCAAATCCACCAATCAACAAGTACCGCGTATACACTGGGCACACGACGCGGCAGCTTGAATTTTGACGATTCGCGACTTCTTTTGGATTCTCCATGTGCTGCTGAGTGCGCTGTTTGATGTGAAACGAACATTTTGATGTGAAAGCTTCTCCACTTGGGTATTGGGCTCCATATCTGAAGTAATTTTATCGTGGTGGCACCATGCAGTCCAATCGTTCCATCATCACTCAGGATGATCTAATCGTGCTACGAAGTACGTAGGCCTTTTAAAAGCTGGTAAATGATTCTTTTAAGGCCACACAATGTGAAGTCCTAAAAAACAGTGGGCTAATAGGAAAACAAACTCTATACGATTTATGGCTGGCAAAATGAAGAACGTGGGCCCCACGTGGGGAGTTCTCAATCCGTCACCGCGTTCAAACCACACATTGTACTGTAAAATTATAATCCGATCGTTGTTCGTATCTGGCCATGACCTAAGCAAAACAAACGTCCCCATGATCTGGACTCGTCGTTATCTAGACGTCTGACGTGTCCCTAGTGAGTGCGAAGTACGTAACAACGTTTCGGCGATGAAATCTGGCAGAGTTCAGCAGTAGCGAATCCCCAAACGCGGAAACGATTTGGAGTCCAGTTTTGCCCCGTTGAACCGTATACACCCTGTTTCGCGCTAGCAGAGCATCTGGTTGCAGAACTTGCACTGGTTGTAGAACGTCACCACGTTTGAAATGGTCTTATCACCGACGGTACAAGCACATTCACAAGAAAGCGGTTAGCTAGGATGCTGCATGGTAAAGAACAGTAACCAAGCGTTTCAAAGCGGTTGAAAAGGGTATACAGCGATAAAGAAAAATTTTGCCCCCAATACCACTCCGTCAGCTGGTGCGGCTTTGCCCGCAGGTTTCAGCCATACGGTTTATGGCACCTGACCGCACTGTAGCACCGAATCGCGCAAGGTGAGAGGGTCGAGAAACAGGGTGTATGAACTTGTGTGGGCGGGTGGCAGTCACCTGTGGGGAATGAGGAGGGGAATAAGGCACCTCAGTACACTACTGGACGTGGCAGAGTAAGGACGTGGGCCCAATCTACTTTGATCGGCTCTGATCGGATCGGTTCGGGTCGGATTGCTTGTGATAGTTGCATCCCAACTTTGGCGATACGGACGAATCTCAGTATCTTGGTAATGTCGCCAACATCATGTCCCAACAAACAGTTCTCGCCGATCTGGGTGTATTCGCAAGGATTTTCGAGACCTCATGGCAAGGCGTGTTTACATTTCGCGTACATCGCCCAGGTCGCCGATCACATGCAATCAAGTGATTGGGGCTGATTCTGTCTGATCGGGTCTGATCGGGCTGCTTGAGGCGGTTGATTAAGTTGGCGCGACCAGCTGATCGCGATCAGCTGATTGCCCCTAATTGCCCGAAATATGCTTCCCACCTTCCTCAAAGTTTTTGATCGCCTCTGATCGCGCCGATCAAAGTCGATTGGGCCCACGTCCTAATAGGCGGATTTAAAAGGGTGAAGGTAGAGATGAAATACCTAGGGGTGTGTAAGGATATTTCTCGATATTCCTTAGCGCACCCTGCAACATCGCGTACAGCAACAACCGTTGTTCGCACGTTACTACTAACGGGGCTTCGCCGACTTCGCGCGCACTGTTTCACCAAACCTCGCACTGCTGGCCCGGCCGTGTCGGCCTACGCTTCGGGACTAGCCCGAGCCTCGCTGTCAGCATAGCACTAGCTAGCTCGCACACACCGTGTTACCGTTTGCATGTTTCGAGTATAAATGTTCGCTCATGCCTTCGCTCACATTTTGTATTCGTTTGACACCTTAGTGCAATTCTCGCTACTTCGATTCATTTCATCCGTAACTTGGTATCAGAGCCTCTTTCTTTCGTAACGCTACGATACGTGCCGTCGCCGCAAATGCCGCTGCCGCACCGTTCCAAGGGCGCTTCTTTGCATGCAATCGGCCGGGACACCGCAAGAGCGAATGCCCGGAAAACGCTAAGGGAAAGGGGGAAGCTGAGCAGCAGAAACAGACCAAGCAGCAGGGAAACGCTGGGAGTCATAAGGAGACGGGCCCTCTACTGACAGGTCACGCCGCTCGCCCGACCCAACCGACCCTCACCGAGTGATTGTGCCGGTTCACTCAATCGACCACACCTGGCCGAATAAGGAGGGTACTACGGTAGACAGCCCCATACTGCTTAGTGGGAAAATCGGGACGGAGTTAGTAAAAATCTTCGTAGACGGAGGGGCCAGCCACAGCCTTATGAACATTGCCACGGCACGAAAACTGCGACTGCCACTGGACAAATGCTTACCTGAGATCGACGCAAGACTGGTCGACGGCACGCCACTGGCGATACGGGAACGTGTGGACCGAGTTCGGATTCGATGCGGGAGTAACTTCACGTTTAGCTAGGAAATGCTCGCAACGACCCTCAACAGAACCGACATTTTACTCGGCCGTGATTGGCTGCGACGACACAATTCGAGAATCAACTGGACGACGGGTAACTGCGCTGTGCGAGTGAACGGTAACAACATCGCCTTACCTCGCTGGGGCTCGCTGTCAAACTCATATGCTATAGTTTGTGTAGGCTGTAGTGGGTTAGACAATATGGGGTACAACACTTTTAGGTTCACCTACTTGTACCCACCT